ATCTTTCACTCCTTTTATATCAGTTTTAAAAATCACAATTACTTTTGTATTAAGCATAGTCGTCGGTAGTTGCATTTGGGAAATATAGCTAGACTGTTCTGTAGGACATATACTAATAGTTGTATTGTTTTTTAATAGCCTCTAAGACTTGACTAACAGGTTGTGTAAGCTTGTAGGTCAGAGGAACTATAAGAAAGTAGTTTATGAGAACAGATAGATTTCAGAAGAGCAAACCTGTGTCTTTTTTTCTTTATTTCCTTTTTGATATCATTCTACATGGAACAACTTTACATTACTGCTTAAATTAGTAAGTAATTTTCCATGATTATATTTGGTTACAGAAGCCACCTTAATTTGAATTTCTATAGCATTTTTAAATACAAAACTTTTTTTGTTTAAGTATTTACAGTGTTGTGTTAGTTCCTGGCACACAGCACAGTGATTCAGTTATACGTATATATATACATATTCTTTTTATTTTAATATACCCTTGTAGCTTATTCATTTTGTGCATAATATTTTGTTCCATCTGTTTGTTTGTTTGTTTATTATTATTTGGCTGTGCTGGGCTGTGTTGCGGTGCGCGGGCTCCAGAGTGCACGGGCTCAGTAGTTGCGGTGCACAGACTTAGTTGCCCAGCGACATGCGGGATCTTAGTTCCCGGACCGGGGTCAGATCTGCGTCCCCTGCATTGGAAGGCAGCTTCTTAACCACTGGACCACCAGGAAAGTCCCTATATATGCATATTCTTTTTCACGTTCTTTTCCATTATGGTTTATTACAGGATATTGAATATAGTTCCCGGTGCTATACAGTAGGACCTTGTTTATCTTTTTTTTTAATTGGCCATGCCATGTGGCTTGTGAGATCTTACTCAGTTCCCCAACTAGGGGTGGAACCTGGGCCCTCAGCAGTGAAAGCACAGAGTCCTATCCACTGGACTGCCAAGGAAGTCCCTATCATTTTATATATAATAATTTGTACCTGCTAATACCAAATTCCTAATTTATTCCTCCCCCACCCCCTTTCCCCTTTGTTAGCCATAAGTTTGTTTTCTATGTCTGTGAGTCTGTTTCTGTTTTGTAAATAAGTTCATTTGTGTCATATGTTGGATTTTACATGTAAGATATCATATGGTATTTGTCTTTCTCCTTCTGACTTACTTCACTTAGTAAATACAAAATTTGTATGCTATTTGTACTTATAACTTGCTTAAGACACAATTGCAGCTTTTTCATGCTTGTTTTTATCCATAAATAAGCTTACAGGGTGTCACATTAGAGAAATGTGGACTATGCAGGTCTGTGTTGCTTACTACCTTTCTCTTTAGTCCTACAAACCTTATTTCAGCAAACTTCAAACGTGATGGTTTTTTTAAAGAAATTATATTTCTTCTGTAGCAGCATTTGCATTGTCCTTTGCTTAGTAGATTTTTTTTTTGAAATATAAGCAAATGTTTCAAATTGATTCTTTTTTAAGAATCACTAGGACAGAAGGGCATTCTTTGGCTTATTGGTAAGTCTTTTGATGTGTCTTTGAAGAGTTGTATAGAATTAAAATTTTTAGGAAGTAAATCATATTTTATTCAAGAGTGCTAACTATTTAAAGGACTACTATGATAAACCTTATAAAGTAAATTACATTAATCTAATTTTTTAAATGGTTTCATACGTTGGTTTACTTAAAATTAAGACTCCCCTGCACTACTTAAACAGTGAGTTTTGTTTCTTAGTTTAAATTAAAAATTTAAAAAGACTTTAAAGGAACAGGAAAAAAATTAGAAAAATGGAACTAGAGAAGCCTGATTTATAAAAATAACAATAGCTACTGTGTACTGAATGGTACACAATAATAATAGCTATTTCTTGAATATCCTCTTGTTAGGTAATTTAGTAAGCATTTTGTATACATTGCCTCTAATCCTCAGAGCACTGCAAGATAGATATCATCCATTTTATCAGGAAATTAAAGCTTGAGGTGATTAAATAATTTGTCCCAGGTCACATAGCTAGGAAGTAACAAAGTCAGAATTTAAATTGAGGACTCTGATTTCAAAGCTGTACTCTTCCTATGTTCTGCCTTCTTAGAAAATATAAAAATAAAACCTGCGTGTCAGTTTCTCCAACTGAATATTTTGATTCTGGTCTTAAGACTTGTGAATAGGTGAGTTTGGGTTTTTTTTTTAAGATTTATTATTTATTTACTTTATTATTTTTTTTGGCTGTGTTGGATCTTAGTTGTGGCATGCGGGATCTTCGTTGAGGCATGTGGGATCTTTTGTTGCGGCGTGTGGGTTTTTTCTCTCTCTGTAGTTGTGGTGCGTGCGTTCCAGAGCCCATGGGCTCTGTAGTTTGCGGTACGTGGGCTCTAGTTGAGGCGCATGAACTCAGTAGTTGTGGCACGCGGGCTTAGTTGCCCCGCGTGGGATCTTAGTTCCCTGACCAGGGATCAAACCCACGTCCCCTGCATTGTAAGGCGGATTCTTTACCACTGGACCACCAGGGAAGTCCCCTGGGTGAGTTTTTAATGTCAGAAAAATGAGGTATGGTAGACACTCTTAGAGGACTATATGACCACAGTTGCTTATTACTTCCTTTCTCCTACAAAGTTACATGTACTTGAGGATCAAGTGACTTATTTATTTGGCTGCCGGGTCTTAGTTGCGGCACGTGGGATCTTTGTTGAGGCATGCAAACTCTTAGTTGCTGCATGTGGGATCTAGTTCCCTGACCAGGGATCGAACCCGGGCCCCCTGCATTGGGAGCGTGGAGTCTTAGCCACTCGACCACCAGGGAAGTCTCGAGTATTGAGTGACTTTTATCCTTTATATTATCCTGGCTATTTTCTCAATATAAAAGCAAGACTCCTTAGTTTACAATCCCATGTAAAACAATTTTTGGTTTTGAACATACCTTTGTTGTTTTTGTAAAATGAATATGTAGTCATTGTATCTGTTATTGTTTCATAGGTTTTTTTTAAACAAAGATAAGAATAAGTTACCTGAAGTTCCACTGCTTTGCTAAATGCCCTCTGCTAACCAGTGGCAACATTTTAGTGAATATCCTTCTAAACATCTCATGCAGACAGTCACATGTGTATATGTATTCAATTTTACATAACTGCAATCATAGAATACATCTTGTTCTGTAATCTGCTTTTTTTCACTCTACAGTATGTGGTAGACATTTTTCCTGTCAATAAATGAATGTATTATTAATAGCTGCATTGTTTTCCCTTATCATGATTTATATAATCTGTCCTTTATTGTTTGATATTTAGGTTCTTTTAAATTTAGGGCTTCTATGAACGATGGAATACCAGGGTGCATACATCTTTTATTAATACTTGTGAAATTTTCTTTGCAGAATAAACTGTTAGGCCTGGGATTGATGGGTCAAGGGACATGCACATTTTACGTTTTGATATATTTTGCTAAATTGCCCTGAAGAAAGTTGAACCATGCTCTAACCTAGTATCAGATTCCCACTGTTAGAGTTGAGAATCCTAATGGCAGTCTGCCAGTCTGTCTGCACACTAGCTGTTTATTGCAGCAGTTTTCTTATTTAGAATAGTATCACACTGTAATTTATGGGTTCCTTTAGAACTCTTGGGTAAATGCCTTCTGGTCCCAATGATCTATGTTCCTAGTCAATTGCATCTGCTATCTAGAACCCTAATAATTTGGGCAATACAGTTGTAGATGGGGTTGAAATGACAGGTTAAGGAAACATTTGACTAGCATGAATGTTCTTTTCACTATACCGCATCCTGGATCTGCTACCTCTGATATGCTTCCAAGGACACTTTTTAAGTGGGAATTTCCTTAATGCTATCTTCTATGAAGAGCAAGATTATTTTTCGAATCTTTTATTTTTCGTAAGATCAGTACTATCTTCTCCAACCCCTTGAACTGAGTTAAGATTGATGACCTTGTTGTTATATCAGCCACTAGCTGTATAGTCTTGGGCAAACTACTTAACCTCTCCAAATATCAGTTTTCTCTTCTCAATGAAACAGGCCAGTGATTTCTTTTTTTTTCTTTTTTTTTTTTTTGCGGTACGCGGGCCTCTCACTGTTGTGGCCTCTCCCGTTGCGGAGCACAGGCTCCGGACGCGCAGGCTCAGCGGCCGTGGCTCACGGGCCCAGCCGCTCCGCGGCATGTGGGATCTTCCCCGACTGGGGCACGAACCCGTGTCCCCTGCATTGGCAGGCGGACTCTCAACCACTGCGCCACCAGGGAAGCCCGATTTCTTTTTTTTTAAGTTTTTATTTTTCCTTATTTTTAACATTTTTTGGGCCATGCTACACAGCATGCAGGATCTTAGTTTCCTGACCAGGGATGGAACCCATGCCCCATGCAGTGGAAGCCCAGAGTCTTAACTCCTGGACTATCAGGGAAGTCCCAGGCCAGTGATTTCTGATACTCTTTCTTTTTCAACATTTTCCCCCTATGATAATTGATTGCCTGTGCTAATTGCCTTTCTTGGCTTAAATAATGTCTTATTAACTTTGGAGCCTCATAAATTTCCCGCAAAATATGGCCTTCATCTTGGAAGATCTCTCTCATCATATAAGTGCAATTTTTTAAAAGATGCTTTTCTACTATTATATTTTCACCTGTTCTTTCATTGGTGTTAATTTTCTTGGGCCTGCACTAAGTAAGGCATGTGTGCTCCTGCTTGGTTACTTATTTTGAATAATTCTGTATACTTTCCCCAACTTTGTTGCTGGATCCTAACCACTAGGCCACCAGGGAATTCCCTAGGATACTTTCAGTGCTTTCATTTTACTTCCTTAGATCCTCAAAATACTGCTCTGAGGTTAGATATTATTATCCCCCATTTTACAGATGTGAAACTGAGGCTTAAACTAAGTGATATGCCCAGAGTCACTCAGTTTATAAATAGCATAGCTATATCTATGGGTTCTAGGGACTTCCCTGGCAGCCCAGTGCTTAAGACTCCGTGCTTTCAGTGCAGGAGGTGTGGGTTCCATCCCTGTTTGGGGAACAAAGATCCCACATGCTGTGCAGTGTGGTCAAAAAGTAAATCAATCAATCAGTCTATGGGTTCTACATTTAGAGCTCTGTCTGCTACGCCACTGGTGCCTCTATAGTTGAAGGTTAAATATTCTTAGTTACATTTTTTTTCCTGGTAATATTTATCATATACATATATCTATACTAATCATAAAGTAGTCATCAAATTTAAAGTTGCTGTCAAGAAAGATTTTGGAAAAGGGAAACAGAACCATGAGCACAGCTACTCTATAGGATATAATTTGACAGCCCTAAACAGATACTTTCCTTAATTCCTAACAAGGCAGTATTTTTCAACTTGTGAGTTCCCTTTAAATGTTTTTAATTTTAAGTTTGGTTGTATGTGGAAATTTTTATACTTAGTTCTCTTCTACAAAGGCTTTATCATTTCTTTGCGTATATTGGTGTTAGACCAAGAAATAAGACTACTGTGTTGGTAAACGGATGCAAAAGTCTTTCTCTGCAACTTTTTAAAATCTAATGAAGGCCCTTGTTTTCAAGAATCCTCCAAATTTTATTTACTCTTCTTAAAGGAAGGTAAAATCTTTGGGAAGTCATTATTAACAGAATGTGTGAGTTGGAAGTTATCATTTAGTAAAAAAATTCCTCATTTTACAGATAAGAAAACAGAAGAAAGAAATTTGCTTAAGGCCGGAGTCAAGAATCACATGATTTTAAATAATCACTCTGCATTCTACTTCTGTGAGAGACCTGTTCTTCTGGCCAAAATTTCTCCCTCAGCCCTGGGTTAATTCTTTTGCACTTAAATGTGGCTCTTAGAATTAGTAGTTTGTGTGGGATGAAAGGAAATTTAGTTTCCAGTCTTCCCAAGACTTTTAAGTTATAACCTATAACCTTGTCAACGTTTCCTTATTTTAAACGGACTTGTAAGTCAACAAACATTTGACTGCCTATCGCGTACAAGGCATGAGGTTTGCATTTTAACAGTAAAATGCGAGAGGAGAGGAGCCATCCCTCAAATACTTGACTGATAAACTAGTACCTTTGATGGTATGTGTGACAAAAGGGAAAATTCTCCCTGGGCTGGACAAATGAGTGTGTTTATTACTTGTTTTCAGTAAGCTTTAACTCCTCCATCGGTAAGAGTTCTTCGCATTTCTTCGACTAGGGCTAAAGACGCGCCCTGGAATCATCCCTTTTTGATGTGAACTTTCTCATTATGTCAGGCCTTCCTGAAGGCTATCCTTGAATAGCCTTTTCGGTCCGAGTGATGGCGAAGGCACTGGCGGGTTTCCAAGCGTTCGCCTCAATTTGCGCTGCGAGTCGGACCACAAAGCTAGGTGACAAAAGCCGGCTCCGGGACCTTCGCCGGCTCATACCCTGCAGCCTGAGCGCGCCTGCGTGTCGGAGCCCCTTTGTTGCTTGGCTGCCAGAGTCCGGCTGCGCCTGCGTGTTGGGCCGGCGCCGGCAAGTGCGCTGCACCGCTGGCACCGGCTGGGGGCGAACAGACCTCTCCAGCAGCTGCCGCCGCCGCTGCAGCCGTTGCGACCGCCTCAGCGGAGTTCAGAGGGCCAGGCGGTGGGAGACTTCCCACAGGGTGGCTGAGATGTCGTCCACCGCGGCTTTTTACCTTCTCTCCACCCTGGGAGGGTACTTGGTGACTTCCTTCTTGTTGCTCAAATACCCGACCTTGCTGCACCAGAGAAAGAAGCAACGATTCCTCAGTAAACACATCTCTCACCGCGGAGGTGAGAGGGGTCCCCAGAACCAGGTGGCGGAGGTGGGGGAGGCCCCCCACCTTGCCCCAGCACGACTAGAGCTGAGGGTCCTCCGCAAAAGGCAGGCGGGTGGAAATACGTGAGAGTTTGAGGAAGGATGGGCGTGTGTGGATAGAGGGCTCCCCCGGAGGTGAAGGCAGTGTGGAGGGGAGGTCGCCTGAAGGAAGGAAAGGGGTCTTGAGACAGAGCCAAGGTGGGGACCTCTCGAGTGCGGCGATGTCAGGGGTTCTCAGAAGGAGGAAGGACCAGGGTGAGAATGAAGGGTAGATGGAGGTTTCTCGGAGGAGGGAAGGATGATGGCAAGCTACCTCCCTAGCAGTGAGGCACAAGTGGGGAGCACCGGGCCGAGCCGGGGGTACCCCGCAGTGGGGAACCGGGAACAGACTTGTTCCGAGACAGCCAGTGGCTGAGCTTGTGGGAAGATGGGGCGAACTGCTTCCAGGGCTGAGGAACTGCGTGAACCTGGAGCGTGGTGCAGCCTGGGCATCTGCAGTCCCTGGGGGCCGGTCCCAATTCACCCCTCCATCCCCCCATTCTAAGCATGATAATTGAGAAGAGGGGGAAACCGAGTCCCTGAGCCGGGGACACGTCCCAAGGTCACGGTTATAGCTTGGGCTGGACTGGGACAGAAACTGGAGCGTCCTGGTTCCCAAAGCTGCAAACCTCGCACCTGTTTTTTTTTTTCCAACCCCACCTTGCACCCCAGCAGTGACCGGTGGATTTCCAAAGACAAAAAGATGATTTAGTTAATGACAGGACTGTATTGTTTGACGAAAACAAAGAAGTTTCTTTTGGAACAGCGTCTTGCCAAAAGGAATGTAGATGAACCCTCTCATTTCCCAGACAGCAGGCCAAATCTTTGCCTCTTCATTATTGTGCAATAATGTCTTTATTTCATTTCACGCATGATGTATAAAATGTTGTGAGATTGGATTATTTCAATCAATTTTAGCTTGTTCTTTAGAGATGAATGTTAAACTAGGTTAAAATTGCTTGGAATTTACAGTCTAATACTTGAAATGGTAAAATTCTAGTTTACAGTCTAAAATTTGATTTAGTACCATGACTCCTTTGCTAACAAGAATTGGCCAGGAATAAGGGTTTTTTTTGTGTTTTGGGGTTTTTTTAATTTAATGAATTTATTTATTGGCTGCATTGGGTCTTTGTTGCTGCCCGTGGGCTTTCTCTAGTTGTGGCAAGCGGGGAGCTACGCTTCATCGCGGTGCGCAGGCTTCTCATTGCAGTGGCTTCTCTTGTTGTGGACCACGGGCTCTAGGTGCGCGGGCTTCAGTAGTTGTGGCACGTGGGCTCAGTAGTTGTGGCACACGAGCTCTAGAGCGCAGGCTCAGTAGTTGTGGCACACAGGCTTAGTTGCTCCGCAGCATGTGGGATCTTCCCGGACCAGGGCTCGAACCCGTATCCCCTTCATTAGCAGACGGATTCTTAACCACTGCGCCACCAGGGAAGTCCCAGGAATAAGTTTTTAAATATCACAGAAGTACATTAGCATGCTTCTGTAAAATCTGTATAATTTAATCAGTTACACATAGTACTAAAGAGTGACTTCAGTGGTTATGCTAGTCTCCTACTCATGAAAAGTGTGAAAGGTTTTAAGGGATCTATCACCAGCTAAATGCCAAGTTATTTCTTATTTGGTTTACCTGTATTTTAATGGATACAAAGTTAAATTGTAGGATGACATATGACTACTAACGTGCCTTCAACCACTACAGCCAAAAAAAAACTTTTAGTGCTTGAGTTGTTGCCATAGAAGTATTTTCGATGGTAGTAGTCCTACTCTGGTGATAGTCAGTACCTTCTGCCAGTTGTGTTTACTGATTTAAAAAAAAGAAAAGTGTGCTTACTAAAAACCCAAAACAAAACTAGGTCCTCTAAAAAGCTATCTAAACGGTCGTTATGGGTGATCTAGATTTTATTTTAGAAGAAATAATCTTAACTCTGTAGGCTTGAAATACGTTTACAGTCCTAAATCACTGTAGTAAATTCCTGTGTGTTAGTGCTTAATATGCTTTTGTTGAGTATGTATGTCAAATAATACAGTTGAATCCAGGGTGATAGAGGATATATTTACTAAAAAACACTTTGTAACTCAAGATACTAAGTTTCTGGAAAATAATAGACTAGGAAGCAGTCAGCTTCTGCTTGCTTTTTATTTTTGTCTTGGACACTGATAACAGCAATCAGTGTTATCTGTGCAAACTTTTCCATGCATGTCACGAACATTTGGGCTAATTCTCTAGTGCCCTAACTGCAAATACCTGATATTTCATGAAAACCAGATGTATGATCATTCCAAGATTGAAACATTGATCATTATATATGTATAAAGTATACACATCTGAATTGCTTTAACTTAAAACTCTTAATGTGTACTATATTATGTCTGCTATGAAAGCACTATCACCTGAGTCAGATTCTGGACCTATTACTAGTTAACCTTGGGAATAAGCCTTGGTTATTATAGAAGCAATATAACCTTGCTTCTCTTTGGGTTGTTATGAGGATTAGGTGTACAGAAAGCACTTTAAACACCGTAAAATTGTTTAGAAATATAGGCATGGATACAAGGGGTCACATTTGTATTTTGCAATAGGACTTTGAGTTGAGTGAGAAAAAATGAGATCACCCTATACTTAATGTCTTAGTTTTAATGAACACTTTTGCCTTTTACTGATTGATTGTCCTTGAAAGTAGAAAATACTCTAATGTTTTAAAAATTAAGTGGTGTAGGCCTGCTTTGTTCTTACCTCATTAAAGCATACATTGTATTACATTATATTGTAATATCTGATTCCCTTATTAGACTATGAGTTCCTCAAGGGCAGATTTTAGATTTTACTAATGCTTGGGTCTCTAGCCTCTAGTACAGATCCTAACATACACTTAAAATAATAGCTTGCTGTCTGCTAATTATCTATTGTGTGCTAGATACTTTCCATGTCTTTCCTTATCTATTTGACCAAAGAACACTTTTTGTAACTACAGTGTATTGATGAAATACCAATAGGACGAAAGATGTACCCTTTGGGTTAAATTGAGAGCAAGTCATACTCTCAAAGTCTATTTTTATAATTTCTCTATGAAATTATGAATTTTATTAATATTTTTACAATTGCATAAGTAACTCATATTCATTGTAGAAAAATTGGGAAATATAGAAATTAAAAAAGAAAAAATAGTTCCTAAAACTCACCATCCAGACATAATCTCTGTTAACATTTTGAAGTATGTCTTTTTTTTTAATATTTATTTTTATTTATTTATTTGGCTGTCAGGTCTTAGCTGCCGTACGTGGGATCTTCGTTGCCGTGTGTGGGATCTTTTAGATGTGGCATGCGAACTCTTAGTTGTGGCATGGGGGATCTAGTTCCCTGACCAGGGACTGAACCCGGGCGCACTGCACTGGGAGCGTGGAGTCTTAGCTACTGGACCACTAGGGCAGTCCCCTGAAGTGTATCCTTTAAGTACGTATTTTACTACATTTGGAATCATACCATATATACATATATTTCAAATGCCCACTGAGTTGACTAGAGTTAGGATAGCAGGGAAATAACTTTTTCATACTCCCTAAGCTATCTCTATGGGCCAATTGAATTAAGCAACAGGCTTTTAAAAAAGAGATTCATTTATTAGGGTTCGGTGGCCAAAGAATTAAAAAAAAAATCAACTGATAAATTCCTCACCTTACCTTTTAACCTTTCACCCTTGGTTGCAAGGCAAAGTACTGCCACAATCTGGGCGTTTTGCCAGATTGATTTCAGAGGTGATAAGTTTGAGGGTAAATATTGCTCATGGACACTGGCTGCTTCTGAGTCCTAAACTTTGTTTGCTCAAGGAGGAAAGTGAGGCATCAGTTTGAGTCTCAAAGTGTCACTGGAAGTATTTTGGTTTTGGTTTTGTATGAGTGTGTAAAGGGAGGGTAAAAGCAGGTGTTATCTATATTTCCCTGTATTAAAAAAATTATACATATCACAAACTTAGAAAAATTAAATATCGTTATAGAAAAAGTTGAACGTATGACAAGATAGCAAAAACCACTTATTGAAAAGAGCACACATATGGTGGTTAGTTGGTAAATGCTGCCACTGTATCAATATACACTTTGAATATCATCCTTCTATGCTATTGATGTGTTTAATTTTTTTCTTATATCTGCAAATATATATTATATTTCACTAATATTTTCCCCTTGAAATATAGAAACAATTCCGCAGTGTTCCAGGGATCGCATATTGAGAAATGCTCTTTTGTATATACCATCTGTAGTCCTTACAAGCTCTTCATGCTCTTATGGAAATATATATAGTTTCCAAAGTGCACTATAAATGTTGAATGAACAAGTGAATTTAGAAGTGGAGAAGGAACTTACTTTGTTGCTTGAGTTACTGAATAACAACTCCATTTTAAGTTGATATAAGGTTATGTCTTCAAACATTAAAATATGTTTTATTTGCACTAAGCTATCTTTTCCAATATCAGAAAAATTTTAATTTGGAAGTTGTTCTTTTGTGGCTGGTGCACATTGTCATATTTGTCATTGGTTTTATAAACATCACACACACACACACACACACATATAGCATGTATACTAAAGATGTTAATGATAGTGGTCATTGGAGGATAACTGTAAAACAAGTGTACAATGTTTGTTGAATGTTTATTGGTATATAAAACATTTGGGAGGTAAAAAGGAAACTGACCAGACATTTCTTTCCTTTACGGCATTTAAATCTAATTAAAGATACAAAAGAGAATGTTTCCTTTACTTTTCCTATCCTAACAGAAATTAACCAGTCACAAAGTAATTATGAGGTACTATTAAGAGAGGAAAGTTAACATAGAATGAAAAATTGGGAAATATAGCTTTGTATAGTATTAGGAAGTGAAGCTTTCTCAAAGAAGTGAAAAATGAGAACTGGCGGAGAGGGAGGCAGGGGGACATAAGC